GTACTACTTATTGCACTCCTTTATCATTTGTACGATAAAGTAGCTTTTCTCATCTTCAAGGCAAATCAGAATGCAGTCATGAATTAGACGTAAAATGTATTATTTCTAAATTTTCCGCCCAAACTGACAAAACACATTTGTTCATATCTTCATTGTGCTGTACAATACCTACATTAAAGATAAGACACTACAACGTAAAGATGCGCAACTAAGATAAATGAAAGCCAAGCAATGCAACATGGAAATCAGAAAATGGGTAGGGAGCTCATAAACCTAATGGCAAGTAGCTCTGATCTGTATTATTTATAAACATGCTATAATCACCGGTATGATAAGGCGTCATGCACTAACAAGTACATGAACATGTTTCCTAAAAGAATCATAGGAGGAAAGAAGTAAACTGAGTTAAGGTCAAGATATTACAAATTCACAATTAGCAAGAAAAATAATGGGGAGATAAGTGGCATGTAGAGCTCAAAGATACATCTACAAATTGCTTTCCCGCTTAATAAAAAAATGAAATAAAACTTTTCTTACCACATCACGCACTATAAATGACAGAAAAAAAGCTTAGTCTTTTACATTACATTTCATACAATTTACACAAAATAATACGTCAAAATGACTTTGAAAAAAATAGATATAAGAGACAGAAAAAGCTTCCCTCGTCAACACTGGCCAAACCATCCCTTTGAATTAATTGATGAAAAGCTTAGATAACATCTCTTCGCCTTTTCATCTCCAAAGCAGACGACGGTAAGAGATAAAACAGTAAACTCTAGCCTATTAGCTTATGTGAATGTCGAGGATCTAAAACTCGAAAAATAAAACAAACTTGGGAACCAGTATGTCTGAGACGTAGGAGCAATACATGTATTACTTAGCACTATTCATTTTAGGGCTAGCACGACGTGACGATTGCACCATTTCAAAAGAGGAAGTAGAGCGGCCCATACAGGTCGCCTAATATGCGGACATACAACACAAAAATAAAGCCAAGGAGGAAATGTTAATGATGTACAATGCAAAACTGGAGATCATTAGATAGATGGTCGTTGCAAATGAGTGACCCTGGGAGACGCGAATTCCAACTTTTGGACAATGGGAGAAGGGAGACACGACACGAAAAGAAGCGAGTGAACCGATTTTTTAAAATGAGATCTGCATTTGTGAGTCAAAAATGAGCAATAAAAGCTTCGTGACTCATGCGGAAACGAATGAAAATTGATGAGGAAAAAGCAACAACAGATGTGGTTACTCCAGGATTCTGTTCACTCGCCGCATCAAGTCATGCATTACCCGAGGCCCTTCAAATGGCCAATTCCAGCGATTTTCTAATCGTCCCTCTCCAACATCTGATTCAAACCAATAACATAGCCAAAACCACCTAAACGATAAAGATATTGACTTTGACAAAGCAGCACTACGATGATCGACGCTGTACAGAAACGGGAGAAAGTTTGAAATGAAAATGAACCGACCAGAGCCTACTCATTGGCGCATCCGGTCTGTCTTTTTTTGGCATCTCGAACATCTGGTGGTAAGCCCAAAACACATGACTTGTTAGCCAATATGCAATGAGTACATCCATTGTATAATGACCTCCAGAAACAACTAACGCACTTATTCCGAGAAAAGTTATGGGGGCTGCTAAGTATCTAAAAGCTTCCGAATCCTCTTAACATCAAACGAAGTGATGATAAGCCTTAGATAAAAGTGACGCACCTTATCCAGACCAAACCCTTTGGGGTATACTGTAGCTGTACAAAGTACATGATAGTAAGCACGACGGTATGTCCGCTAAACATCAAATCACCACAAAGAATTTTTTCCTGGCCAGATGTGAGGCCCAAGGTGACGACGTAGGTCAAGAATCTGGAAATAGTACATGATCCTAATTCTAGCCTATGGAATGATAGGAGTAGAAAAAAAGGCTTCCAATGAGGAGCATCCAATAATTTACATTGATCACCCGGGTGTAAGTCCGCGTTCGCATATCTGACGTTAACAACGCAAATATTCAATAAACCAAACCAATTCATAAATATTTCATGTTACCAGTCGTTCATCAGTGAACCACTATACCAATATTTGGATCTGTCCCCACAACAATTCCATTAAGAAAG